AAGAGAAAGAAAAATATACATAAGGTTAAATTAGATAAAAGGAAAAAAAACATAATTTCAACAAAGTAATTACTAATGAGTTAGTTTACTTGGATCAAATTTTATGTATTGTAAATTATACTATAAGTATATGTTCTGTATTATTTTTATATATTAATATATGATGGGGTCGGGTCGAGGGTCGGGGATTCAAGTTATCCCCATCCCCACTTTTTTATTCGGGAATTCCCCATCTCCGGTCAAATTGTGGATTCCCCGCTCAAAACGGGTGCAGATTTCGGGTTCCCCATCAAGTATAGGGTTTTTTTGGCCATCCCTAACTCCCGACACATTATAATTTGGATTTTAGAGGTATTGATGTGACTTTGGTCCTATGCCTGGTTTGTGGTTTGGTTACAAAAGAAATTGGTTTCATTCTTATTTCTTGTGAGGTGGCTTCGACACAGTGGGATTCGGAAATGGTCTAAGCTACCTACAACACCTTTTGCTAGTGAGGATAAGGTTGTAGATTGGATTGAAACGATTCTTCTCTCGGGTTCTAGGCGCTCAGTCCTGGAAGCCATTATTATGATAATATGGTGGTCGATTTGGAAGTTCAGGAACTGTAATGAACCAAAAATTATAGAAATTTAAAATTTTCAAAAACAACCCATTTCGTCCATAAAGTGTTTACAAACCATTATTTCAAAAGTATTATCCAAAATCAGAGTATCTCAAGATCCAATGTCATAAAAACAGGAAGATGTGCACGATCATGCCTTCGCTTTCCCACGATCCTCTGAAGTACCTGAAACAATAAACTGAAACTGTAAGCCAAAGCTTAGTGAGTTCCCCCAAAGTACCATCACACAACACAACAAACAATAGCATCCAAATATGAGCCTTCAGCCTGAATGGACCGCCTCGCAGGGCCTATATCCTATCTAGACCGCTCTTCAAGCCTTCGACATGGTAGACTGCCTCTCAGGGCCTACAACCTATCCGGACCGCTCTACGGGCCTTCAGCCTGACTGGACTGCCTCGTAGGGCATACAGCGTATCCGGACCACCCCTGGTCTTGGCCTTCAGCACAAAGCAGGACCGCCTCAACCCAACCACAATATGTCGACATATGTAACAGATAAACATAAAAACAGAACCAACAAATACAAATAATCATACATATCTACCAATCAGTCATATACTAGCATAGTACTATCCTATAACCAGGATACATAATCTAGTGAGCCGACATTGGTCTCTTCGACCCACGGATACAGTGAAGAAAACTCACCTCTCAGTCCGACGAGTAGTAGAAAAGTACACAACACCGAGTCCAACTCCAACACCAACTCTACTGATCACCTAAACAAATTTGGTGACCTTAAGCTTAGTTAATAATACCAAAAGACCTAAAATACCCAAACTACCCTTAAGTCAACCTTGGTCAAAAGGTCAAAGTCAACAAACCAGCCGAGTCAACCTAGCCGAGTACGCTGGTCGTACTCAGACGTACGCGGGGTGTACTCCTCTTGACCAAGAAGTCGAGGGTTTGACCGTGTACGCGCATCGTACCATTTGGTATGCCCAGCGTACGCACCTGGTCACTGCAACTTCTTTTTAAGAACTTAATCCATCAAGTCCTTACGTCCAAATCCAGATCTGAGCCCAAAATGATATAATAAGTCATAAAGTTTCCAACTTTATGACTTTGCATGGCTAGAAGTGCTTAATACCAACAAACCCTAACTTCTTAATCCTTTAGGACATCCTAGCACATGCATGGGGAAGGACTAAGATCCAAGATTAAATTTTTATGGTTCCTAATAACTCCATAATGGATAAAGTTTCTAACTTTATCCATTAGAATGGTCCAACCAACCAAGATCTAGTCTTTAAGTCTTAAAGGGACCAAAAGTGCATCTTTTCCAACTTAATCCATTAAGTCCAAGTCTCAAGCCTTTAGATCTGAATCAATATGATGTTTAGAGGGATAAAGTTTCCAACTTTATCCATAATAAGGTCACAAACTTTCAAGATCTAAACTTTATGCACTAAAGTGACCAAAACCTCATAATACCCAAGACTGGCTAGATCTATCAAATGCATCATCAAGATTCAAACTTTATACCTCTAGAAGAAAGATCAAGTTGAAAAAAGTTTGGATCTACAAGCTCCAATGCAACCAACACTTCTCCAAAGAGATCCTTCTTCTCCAAGATGCACCAAGCACACTCCAAAGCACTCAAGCACACATTCTTTTGCTCAAAAGGCTCAAACTAGGGTTAGGGTTTTCAAGGGAGGGTGTTGGAGAGGTGGAGGCTGAGAATGGAATGGGTTTGGGGAAGTTAAGGAGCTTAAATAGGGCTCAAACCACGAAAATAGGGTTTAGGGACCGATCGCATATGCCCAACGTACTCAGGGATACCCTAGTACACCCAACGTACTTCCCCCGTACGCTCAGCGTACGCAGCTTAACCCAAACCGTCCTAACTTCAAACGGTCATAACTTCTTCGTTTCAACTCCGATTTCGACAATCTTTATATCCACTGAAAGGTGTTGAGGAGACCGACAATATTATCTAAATATCTTGGACTAAAAACCTCTCGAAAAAAGTCCATATTTAATGCAAGAAGTCCAAAACATCACTTTTCCTGTTTTGCCCCTTTGACTCCAACACAAACCAAGGGATTGGATCGCATAACCAATATTATCAACATACAATAGGGTCTAAAACCTATTCCCGTGAAGCCCAAGGCCTTTACTTGATTCATTTATTATCCACAATCCCGAAATAAGAAACTTCTCGAAACAGAATGTTACATGAACAATATTATTTTTCATGAAGCTTTAATTAGAAGGGATTCTTTAGTAGATATGATTATTGATTTTTTTGTGTGGTATGTAAATATGAATAGAAAAATGTCTCTTAAGTGGGAAGAATGGTTAAATAACCCACTCATGTCAAATTCTTTGTAATCCCTTCATTTTTTGTTAGTTTTCTATAACTTTTTAATATATATTTATTTTGTGGTTAAAAAAAACTGCTAGGTATTCCATAATTGATCATTAACATGATGATTTTTAATAGTTGACATTCAATATAAATGATTATTGGGTATATTAAGTTTAAAATATCTAACGATTTCTTAGGGTACACAGTTGACATTAACATGTGAATGATGAATATAAATTATAAATGTCCATAATTTTTTCATAAATGATTCTCTTTAAATGATACAGTTTAACGTGATTGTAAGGTTACACCTTATGATATGATGAGTCAAACACATTAGACACTGCCTCCAGCGCCAGCGCCAACACCAACACCAGAATGATCAGTGTCAGCATGAAGTCCATGATCTTGCTGATCATTACATATTAGGAAGAAATCTATTGTATATTAGGCAATTATACAAATATGTATACAATAGATAACGGATCCGATATTTTGGTGATAAGGATATGCTAATATGTAGATTAGATACAACCCCTTGATTAAAGGGATATACTAGTATAGTTTAGTATATATTCAACATTGGGGTGAAACATTAATGTGAACGTCTTGGTGACCGTCTTTGTGACATTCGTTCTCTATGTGAGAACAACCTCTTTCTAGGTGAAAGAAATCTTTGTGATTAATTTTTGTTCTTTACTTTTTCTGTTCCTTGTTTAGTTTAGTTTGTTCTTTTCTAGTTATACTTGAAGTGTATCCGATCGATACAAACCTTTAATTGGTATCAAAACGGGTTTTATGATACATTCAAGTTATCATAGCAGATTCAAACTTTTGTTCTAAGATTTGTTCATAGAATGTCTGAAATCGTTTTTCAGTAACCATGAAAATAAAAAGAAGAGATCAATCAGGTTAGAACTTTCGTTCAAAGATCTGTTGAAGATTCAGAAGTTCAAAACTTATTCAGAACCTCGAAAATCAGAAGGAGAAGAAGAAGAAGAGTTCAATCAGGTAAGTTTTCTGATGTATATTCTTGTTTAAATAAATCTTTTTATAGGGTCAAACACAAAAAAAAAAATGTCAGCATAAGGTACATTTCTACAAATAAAGCTGGTGCTTTACGTGGTCGTGTCTCTTTTGGTCAAAGTTGTCTAAAGTGTAAAGCTTTGGTCTCACAAAATGAGTCTGATCATGAGGTTATTACCATTGAATAAATGTGGAGGTATGTTCTTTCTTCTCTAAAAATTGCAATGTATGTGGGATATTTTTCTATTCATATATGGTATGTTTGTATGCATGAGTAGTCTTTATCAAGGAACAAGTTTTACAGTTGTCAAGTGGCTATATTCAGAATTAAAGTAAAAGGGTATATTGGTCACAAGAGATGGAAATTGGTTCCTGTTACCAATGATGTGGCAGAGTAACAGTCGAAAAGTGTACAATAGATCTTGACAATGGTTGCATTGTCTCTTGGGTTTAAAAACAGAGAACAAAGATGCATTATCCACCTTGATGTCGTTCACACGTTGATGTTGATGATGTACCCACTGGTAAGATTCATTTCTTACATTGGTCAAGAATGCAGCAGAGATATTCACTCTTCAAGTGGATCTTGAAAAGAAAAAGACAACGTCATTCTCTTGGATGGTTTACAAGCAAGCATAGGATGTGGTTATGTGTTGTTAAAGACTAAATGGGTCTGAATTTGCGATGGTGACTGATCAAGAAAAGTTATTCTTTCTTTGTCAAAAGATTACCATATCTCGTTGGCTGCAATGAAAAGTCTTTGAAGAAAAGGGTGCAATATCACGTAGGTGGTTTCTGTGTGCTTTTAAGATATTAAGGATAACAAAGAAATATTAGTCAATAAAATAATATAGTGTATATATTTAGATTATTGTATTTGATTCTTTCCTTATTATAAGGATTCGGTTCTTGTATTTGTATATATACATGTATCAATGAACGAGATCAGCAAGGGATTATAATAAACCTTTATGGTATCAGAGTTAAGGCTCAAAACCCTAAAAATCACTACCGGCCGCATCCCCTGTCACGACAGATATGCCGACCAACGAACAACCAGAAAGCAGCATAAAGCCAACACTTCACCCGGTGTACATTGTCACCAATATCCAACATAAGGTACGTATACTTGATGGAATCAAGGTTACCTATTCTTCTTGGGTGAAGTTATTCAAGCTTCATGCAAAAGGATACAAAGTCTTGCATCACATTGACGGAATTGCGGCTCCCAAAGTCAGTGATGCAACATACGAATCATGGTCTGAAATCGATGCTATTGTTCTCCAGTGGATATACGGTACACTTTCTGATAATCTTCTGGTTCGTATATTGGAACCCGACACCACATCATATGAAGCATGGAAGAAATTATCATCAATCTTCCTCAACAATAAGGGATCTCGTGCAGCAGCTTTGCAACATGAGTTCAACAACCTCAAACTCTCATCCATGACATCATTGGAAGAATATTGTCAACGCCTCAAGGATTTGGCCTCACAACTCGACGATGTTGAAAACCCGGTAACAGAAAATCGTCTTGTACTTCAACTGGTACGTGGCTTACCCTCTGAATTTGATACTATGGCTTCTTTTATCAACCAAAGCCTCCCAACAGGGGACACGGCATGTAGCATGCTTCAACTTGAACAACATCGCCAATCCAGTCGAGAGAGCAATAACACAACCGAAAACTCTTCCGGTGGAGACCTTGTTGCTACACACACCAACATAGCTGATGAACCAACTCCTCCACACCAGAATCGCCGACCCCGATCAAACCAAAATTGCCGCCCTATGAACACAGGTAATCGTGGTCGTGGCGGAAACAACACTCGTGACACTCGTGGTCGCGGCGCTCCTTCCGGTAATCACAACATCAGGCCTCCAGGTGAACCTCCGGGTAATGCTCTATACTCGTATTGGGCTGCATACGCTCCACCACCATGTCCTTTTCCTGCTCGGCAAGGTTGGGTCTACCCATGGAATTACGGATACTTATATTAGCAGCAGTATAGACCTGATCATTCAGCTCATCAGCCACACCATGCCAAACAACAATCAGCCCATCTGGCTGAAACAAACCCGCTGGACCCCACAGCTCTTGGAGAAGCTCTGCACACGATGACCTTAGACACTCCAGATCAATCTCAATGGTTCATGGACACCGGGGCAACCTCGCACGTCACTAGTGACGAAGGTATAATTTCCAATCCATTATAAACAGGTCATATTCAGTCCATTTATGTTGGGAATGGTCATAGCATCCCTATCAAAGAGTCCGGTAACACCACTCTTTCTCTTCCTAATCACTCGACTGTTTTGAAAAATGTCCTGTTAGCACCTCAAATCATTAAAAATCTCATATCTGTTAGAAAATTCACATCTGATAATTATGTTTCTGTTGAGTTTGATCCATACGGTTTTTCTGTGAAGGATTTGATGACTGGGAGGATCCTTTCTCGACACAATAGCTATGGCGAACTATACCCTGTCACATCAGTTGCACCATCAGCAACAATTTTGCTTTCAACTTCCAGTTCGGACTTATGGCACAATCGCCTTGGACACCCTGGCGATAATATTTTAGATCATCTTTGTTTTAATACTTTCATTCCATGTAATAAGACTAGTCGTTTGAATAATGTTTGCAGTTCTTGTCAAATTTCTAAACACAAACGCCTACCATTTTTTGATTCTAAATCTACTACGTTGCTACCGGTTGACATCGTCCATTGTGATTTATGGACTTCACCCATCCCTAGCAACTCGGGTTACAAGTATTACATGGTTCTTATTGATAACTTCACACAATACGTGTGGGTCTTTCCTCTAAAATATAAGTCTGAAACGTTCATCAAGCTTAAACAATTTCATTCTTACATACTCACCCAATTTAATGCTAAAATCAAATCTTTTCAATGTGACATGGGTGGCGAATTTGATAACACTCCATATCACACTTTTGCTTCATCACACGGCTTACATTTCCGATTCTCGTGTCCTCAAACATCTCCCCAAAATAGAAAAGCCGAAGGTATGATTCTGCGCCTCAATGAAATTATCCTCGCGTTACTCACTCACGCGTCTCTCCCTCCTTCCTTTTGGGTCGAGGCACTTCACACAGCCGCTTACCTCCATAACATTCTTCCAACCAAAACTCTTCACCTTCGTACTCCAACATCCTCCCTTTACCACCGAAACCCCACCTACGATCACTTGCGCACCTTCGGATGTGCTTGTTATCCAAACCGCTCCGCAAATAAAACATACAAACTTGACCCTCGCTCCAGTCTTTGTATCTTCCTCGGGTACCCACCTAACTACCGAGGTTACCGATGCCTTGAACTCTCCACGGGTAGAGTATTTTTTTCTCGACATGTTACCTTCAATGAAAAATCATTCTCGTATCAGTCTCACCACTTCAAACCATCAAACACCGACAACATCTCTCCCTCTCCTCACCTTTTCGATATTTTCCTACCTACACCAATCACTCCTTCCGTCACCCCTTCCTTCAGGCCACCATCTCCGCCACTTACGACATCTCCTACCCCTTCATCTACACCACCTATGGCCTCTCCCTCCCCTTCCACCAGTCCCGAACATCCTACCCCCCCCTCCTCCACCCGCCGCCTCACATGTCTCTCGCCACACCATGGCCACTCGATCCAAAAGTGGTATTTTTAAGCCACGACAACCCTTAAACCTTCACACCGATTCTAAACCACCCATATCCCCTATACCAAAATTTCCCTACCTTGCTCTTAACGACCCAAATTGGCGTAATGCTATGACCATTGAATACCAAGCCTTGCAACAAAATCAAACGTGGGAGCTTGTCCCACGCCCAACTAATGCAAATGTAATACGTTGCATGTGGCTATATCGCCATAAATATCGCTCGGATGGCTCTCTTGAACGATACAAGGCACGTTTGGTCGTAAATGGAAAATCTCAAAAAGTGGGCCTCGATTGTGATGACACCTTCAGTCCAGTAGTTAAACCCACAACTATTCAGACACTTCTTAGCCTTGTCGTCTCTCGTAACTGGTCTGTCAAACAAGTAGATGTTAAAAATGCTTTTTTACATGGGGATCTTAATGAGATGGTGTATATGCACCAACCAATAGGGTTTGTGGACCAGTCAAAACCAACTCATGTGTGCAGGTTACGAAAATCATTATATGGACTAAAGCAAGCACCTCGGACTTGGTACACCCCGATTTGCAACTTTTGTTACATCAAAGGGTTTCAAACGAAGCGTTTCCGACCATTCATTATTCATATTCAACAAAGGAAATTCCACTGCATATCTTCTCTTATACGTCAATGACATGATTCTTACTACATCTAATGATAAGCTCTTGCAAAGAATCACTGATCTTCTGTCCACGGAATTTGCAATGACAGATCTTGGTATGCTAAATCACTTCCTTGGGGTTATAGCCAAATGCACTTCGTCGGATCTTTTTCTATCACAGGAAATGTACGCCAAGGAGATTCTTGAAAGAGCAAATATGTCAAACTGCAAATCCGCCTCAACACCGGTAGAAACTTGATCAAAACTAAGCGCTGACTTGGGGGCTCCCTTAGCTGACAGATCTCTTTATCGTAGCTTAGCCGGTGCACTTCAATACCTTACATTCACGCGCACGGATCTGACTTATGCAGTTCAACAAGTTTGTCTATTCATGCATGCGCCGTGCGAATCACATCTACAATTCCTCAAACGAATATTGTGTTACCTAGAAAGAACCATCCATTATGGCCTTTACTTTCGAGCTAACCGATCACTAAAGCTTACGGTGTACACACATGCCGATTAGGGAGGATGTCCAGACTCCCGCAGATCCACTTCAGGCTACTGTGTGTTTTTGGGTGATAATATGATATCATGGTCAGCCAAGCGACAAGCAACTATCTCCAGATCTAGTAGTGCAGAGGAAGAATATCGAGGCATTGCTAATGTTGTTGCTGAAACTAGCTGGGTCAGGAACCTTCTTTTAGAACTTCATGCTCCTATACGACAAGCCACATTGATTTATTGTGACAATGTATCTGCAGTCTATCTTTCCGCCAACCCGATTCAACACCAACGTACCAAACATGTCGAATTAGACATACATTTTGTTCGGGAAAAAGTGCGACTTGGCGAGGTTAAGGTTTTCCATGTCCCAGCTGAATACCAATATGTCGATATTTTTACGAAAGGCCTTCCCAAAATCTTATTTGAAAGCTTTCGATCCAGTCTCAACGTTCGCATAGCTCCAGATCACACTGAGGGGGAATATTAGTCAATAAAATAATATAGTGTATATATTTAGATTATTGTATTTGATTCTTTCCTTATTATAAGGATTCGGTTCTTGTATTTGTATATATACCTGTATCAATGAACGAGATTAGCAAGGGATTGTAATAAACCTTTAAGAAAGTGTGTGAAGGGCATTATGGATAATTCAAATTCGTACAACATCTTCACGAAAATCCACCAGCTCCAGGAGCTTCACCAGTATCATCTTGTTTTCTATGCCTCCACTATTTCCATATCATCTCCAACCTCATGTTGTCATCAAATTATCAGTCCTGGAGTTCATCAGTTCTCATGAAAGACAAAAGAGAAAATATTATGGCAACGCACCTATATCACTTTAGTTTCAAGCTGATGCTTTTTTTATTGGATTATCTCGTTTGGGCTTAGGTCATCATGAGGGGTAGTTTGGTCCATAAAGGCATGATCTTCTTTTGCATAGGATAACTACAAGTCATATTAATGTAAAACAATAGTTGTCAAAGATACAAGGGTTGTTTTCAAGAAACACCTGTGGTTGTTCAAAAGCTGAATCAGAATCAGATTCAATTAAAAGAAAAAGACAAGTAAAAGATACTTGGTGCTGTTGTCGAGTTTTAAAAGAAAGTACAACTAGAAAGAGTGCAGCAAACATCCAAACAGGTTTGAATAGTTGCCATGAGGTTCGGTACTGTACAAGACAAAAAAGCTCTGAGTAAATGGTCTGAAAATGCATGGTCTAGGTGAAGTTTTATTTTTATGAAAGCTTTGGAAGATGGGCTTCTCTAATGTCGTTTGAAGCAAAATGAAAAAGTATCAGGGGTATACTGGTCAGAAAAGGATGGTTGTCTCATTCTCTTGCTATACTTAACTGTCAAAAGATTTTTTGGTATCGAAAATGGATAAATGTGGCAGAATTGTGTGTCTGCTACAACCATAATCAATCACATGAGGCAGTTTGATCTTTACACTTCATATATTGGTGACAGTGAAAGAAAGAGAAGGTAGCATTGACATGGTTTTCTTCTCCGTGGACTGTTAAAGGTAATTTCAATGCAAGGGCAATTTGGTCAAAGCATGATACAAAGCTGCCATTGGATATGTGTAATTGTGTAAAAGGTCTCTTAACTGGGGTAGATTGATGTTGATAGCTACGATGTCACTGAAAAACGATAGTAAGTGCAGGGGTTGTTTGGACAAAGCAAGGTATATTGTAAAATCACTCTCTACAGTTAAGACGTGCAGCAAAATGTGAAAGTCAAATTTGCAACAATCAGAATTGTTGTTGTCACATTTACATTTTCAAGATGCATCAACCTTTGTGTTTTTCTTTTCTGATAAGAAGACAACCATCCATGCATAATTCGACTGTTTTGATTTACAAAGAAGTCAGCTCAGTGTTCATTTTATTGAGTTACGTCGGAATAAAGATGCATTTCAAGTAGAACTCGTTTTCTCATCTTAAAGCAAAAGACGAATTTTTGGCTTTGTGGTTAATTTTGTCTCCAATGGCTATACAAGTTTTCAAAGGTATTCTTGCCCAGCTTGTGCCTAAGAATTGTTGTTGATGCGATTAAAGGTGTTGTTGATGCGATTAAAGGTTTCTGTCCTCTGTTATCCTTCCTTTCACGTGATGCATCAGGACCTAAAATACAAAGGACATGAGAAAAGTCAAATTCTACCTACTTCACTCCTTTTCTCACGATGGAAGAGA